TCAGAAGAGTTAAGGATATTAATAGCCTACAACAAAAAAGTTATTGACAGGTTTTAAATGAAATTAAAAAACCCAGAAATGTACATTGCAATTAATAGGAAGTGAAAAAACAACTGCAGCTTATTTCCTCCAACTTTTTGTTTTAACTTTTTAATGAGATACTGATACTAAAAGGAAAGAAACAGATCAAGACACAAGAAAGGAACACTCCAGCCCAAATGGAGTGCTTTCAGACCCTATTGTTCAACTGCAGAGTGATCTTGAGCACATGTTTGCAGCCTTCCTATTTATTGGGCTCCTTGTGTGCGTGCACACACTTGTTGAATAGATTTTTTTCTAGGTTGCCATGCTGAAAAAGGTCGCATGCTGCTACAGACACCAGACAGTTGGGCACTTGCAAGTATGAATGAATTGGGGAGCATCACATCCTGCTGCTGAGCAGTACGCACAGTCCCTCTTCCCCTTCTTGGAACTCCTCCTTTTGCTAAAGGGGATAGAAAGGACAGATGCTGTGCAATTTTCCCAAACTTCCCAGGGGAGACTTCTCAAGACACTGTCACGCTTTTGTTTATTCATTGAGGACCATTGCTAAATTTTAGTCAAAATAATCAGTATTAGAGAAAGCTGCCTGTTCCCAGGTCAGAACATCTAGGTCTTGGTTGTCTGCACAGAATTAGATCTCTAAAATTTCAGATGGATCTTTTTCAGCTCTGCCTGGAGATACCATGGATTGAAGCTAGCATCTTTTGCATGCAAGGAATGCCTTCTGCCACGGAGGTGCAACCCTTCCGCCTGACAGAGAGAAGTATGATAAATTCAGACTTGCAAGATGGGTGGCAGCTGCACAGAAAGTTGAGAGCAAAATTCATTGCAATGAATAACATTTACTGCTTGAAAGCACAACAGAGCACATTTTTATCCTATCAGCTGCCTATGTTGCTTGCTTTACCTTCTGGGTGCATTTTTATTCTTTCTTCTCTTTCCCATATTGGAAATGATGCTGAGCTCTCAGAGTAAGTTAACAGGTTAAATAGAGAGCCAGTCTAGCATGGTGGACCAGGAAGATCTAGATTCTAGTCCCTTCTCAGCCACAAAGCTCAGCCAGTCCCTCACTCTCAGCCTAGCCCACCTGACCGGGTTGTGGTTGAGAAGACAAAATGGAGTGGAGGACTATGTAAGCTGCCTAGGATTTCTTGCCAGAGGAAAAGAAGGTGGAATATAAATGTAAAATAACAACAACAACAGAAATGTTCATCATTGCTACCTTAACTATGACACACAAATAGTTTTTAGTTGTTGCCCAGTTTTTAACATAGTGATCTCTGTTTATTTGCTGTCGCCTTTTCTCTCTATATATCATATAGGATCCTTTATCCTATAACTTTCAGACTTAAATCCTATAGACGCCATCCTAGGAGTAAGTCCCACTGAACTCAACACAACTTCCCTAGCCACACTGATCTCACACCACAGGTTCCTGAATGGTGGCCATCAAGCTACTGACCCCTCAAAAAACATTATTATGTGTATTGTGTGTTCTACTTTCTCCTTCTGCACCACCAGCTCTCTCTCTGTAACCCCAATATAAACACCTTGCC